TTGTAATTCCTTGTATTCTTGATATAACATGATGTTCCTGTTTTATTTGTTGGCATAGTAGGTACACACAGATATGTAATAACTACATAGGTGCTAAATTGTATATTTTATTTATTAAATTAAGTTACTTGGAATTAGTCAGTTAATAAAAACAAAAGTTGTAATGTATTAATATTGCTAAATAAATAAATATATGATGAAATAAGTCAGTGTATAAATGTCGTAGTCTCATAGTGTATTCCGTATTTTCATGAAGAGCCTAGTCACTTCGTGAAGCGTCGGTTAGATTAGCGCATGGTTAGCAGGCTAGTTATGTTATTAGGTTAGTTTTTTTCATTAAGTGACTAGGTGACTAGGCTCTTCATGAAAAGACGGAATACACTATGAGGCTACGACATATACATATTCACAACTCTGTATTTTTGTGCTTTTGAAATAAATTGAGTTCATTATTTATTTATTAATATTTTATTTACAAACCTACCTTATATTAATATACTACTAGTACGAAAGTTTTTAATGTTTATTAAAATGGTATCACACTGAACTGCATGTAAACATGTCAATTTCAAATGTTTTGATGAAAGCCCATGAATCTTTAAACTGCATCGGCAAAACTATTAATAAATCACTAACACAATCACGTAAAAAATCACCATAAACTATTTAATTCGCATTTCTCATCCAGGAACAATTACTGTTTACATTAAATCAAAGGTTGAACTGGTGATACATTTGTTGCTGGAACTTCTATATTTTTTGTACAACAGTTCTAGGGAAGATTTATTTTAGCAGCTTATATTTTTCTTCGGCCGTGTGTGCACTAAAAAGAACCATATAATGAAACAATTTTATAATAACAACTTAGAAATGAATATCTAAAACCGCCATCTGATATAAGCTAACTTCTAACTTACTTTTCAAACTCAAATTTAAGGTTTTGTATTCACAATTTTAGCCACGCACATTGTTCAGTTAGAAAAAACACGTTTCTAAAAGTTAAATCTGGTAAAAATATGCCCAAATATTAACTGAACTCTTTAATTTATAACAAAATAGTAGAAGAAGCTGTGCATTTCTCAATCTGTAGGATATATTTGGTACGGCGATTTTCGAACTTCTTTTAGATCTCTGTTTTAGATCAAGGTCCAACATTTTTGCATTCGATTCTTGGATTCGATTCAACTCCTCCTTTTAGCCTCCAATGAAATATAGAAAGCCTCCTTCCTTTTTATTCTTTATGCAATGTGCTAATTAATATATAGCTAATATCAAACACCAGTTAAAACACAAAGTTAAAGGCTGTGTTAAAGGTTAAGTTTTTTAACATAATCTCTGATAATTTGTTTGAGGTTGTGTATGTTTGGTTGCCTAACTAGTCCGGTTTATTATGGAGCGCATTTCAGGAGATAGCGCTGCTGTATAAAGAGCAAAAAATCATGATACCTAGGTTTTTATAACAATTTTCCTCTGTTTTTGCAAAGCGTCCTTTTTTGAGAAATCAAAGCGTCGCGTGGGTTGGAAATATTTATTTCTCGATTTAATTTCCAATTTGGTGCTTTTATTTCTTTTTTTCAGTAGCGTAAAATGTTGAAACGGTGTAAATTTGAGCGAATGATTTACAGCTCCGAGTTTTTAACTTCAGAAAGACTTCTAAATTGTTCTTAAAACTATGTATGTGTGTGTGTTGGTGTGGAAGCATACAATTATCAATTGGTAAGTCGTAATTTCTATTTAATTTGATACAATATCTCTTTCCATATTATATGACCATATAACTTTGATCGCTAGTGATAAAGAAAATTACTACTAAATAATTTTATTTTGTTACGAGTATAAACATGTAGTTTTAACAATTTTGTTCATTCTACATAATATCTAACACTACACCAGCTTGTGATGCGCCGGTTGCCGATTGGAAATAGAATACAACAAAATAATAAAATTATATATTAATTAAATATGAAAATGTATAAACAAATTATGTTACGGTTTATCGTACAGGGTACGAAGAAGTGTAGGCTCACTTCATAGGCTTTCTGATTTCTCAATAATACAATTTTTGACCCTCTGAGTGTTTTTTGTAAGCTTAATTTTGTTACATGTCAATTGAAATTATTCATTTGACTTAAATCTAATTTCTTCATCGCTGTATACTGTTATTCTTCCGTCAACTTCTTGAAATACTGGCGACTTAGACTGTAGATATTTCATAAAAACCTCGACATCAACTTGACCTATCGCTAAATTTTCTATGTTCTCTGATATGGCTGTATAACCATCACCACCTATTTAAAAAAAATCATTAAAAATATTCTATGGAAATTGAAAAAAACTTTATATTATTTAGTTGTGCTCTAGAACTTTGATATTTTATTGTGCTTATATACAGGGTGGTCCGAACTATATTCGGGAAACTTTGGCAGCATATTTTATGGATAAATATAAGTAAAAAAGTTTAAATAAAATAATGTTCTAAAATGCTTATTATTGGAGATACAGGGTGTAAAAGTTTAATTGTTACCTGGATTTTTTCCAAATTATGGTCGATATTTGGATGAAAATTGGTGTTGTAGGTATTCTTTGACATGAGAAATTTGATTTTGATGTCAGTATGACTCCTACTTGTAGGGTGCGTCATCTACACGTTTTTTAACTGTCTTAAACAGTTATAACTTTTCGTCCGTATCTGTATGAAACTAACTAAGTGAAAAAATACATATTTTCATCTTTTCTACGTAAAAAAGATATTTTCTCAAACATTGAACATGTTGACTAGATAGTTATTAGACTGAAATCATAAATTTGAAATGTTTTTGTGTCACAGATTCAACAGAAACCAGATAAAACTAGAATTAAAAAAAAAGTTCCCAAATTTTATCATCTTAGTCAATTCTAGCCTAGAAGAATGAAATGTTTATTTCTTGTCAATGATGACCTGTATTAATAACTTACATTCCAAATATCTTGAAAACGGTTATTCGTAGCTAAAATAAAAAAATTATAAGTCTGAAATCAGAAATTTGAGTACTAGTTACTACAATCAAGAGGTTCTTTTTTAGGTAAGAGATGCATATTTTTTTACTCAGTAGTTTTATACAGGTACGGATAAAAAGTTATTACTCTTCAAACCATTTAAGAATATGTAATTAGCGCCCCCTACACATATTGACATCGAAATCAAATTTCTTATGTCAAAAAATGTATGGTTTTCATCGAAATATCGACTATAGTTCAGAAATTATTTGGAAAAAAACGAAATAAAATTAAACTTCTACACCCTGTATCTCAGAAACTAAACATTTTAGGACATAACTTTCTATACGAACTTTTTTACTTATTTTTATCTGCACAATATGCTGCCGAATACAATTTAGATCGCCCTGTATTTTTCTTGTAAAGAATAACTTAGCAATTATTGATTAATTTGATTGGCAGAATTTTTTATTTTATAAACAGCTCAAAAAAAAAACAAATTATTGAAGGTTTAATGAAATATCATAGTAATTTTATACAAGGTGTCCCAGTATTCTGTGGTCATACATCTAACACCTATTTTAGAGTGAAAATAAGTTAATTGAACACTATTTATCTCTATACAAAAGTTTGAACAATTTAAAAAATACAAAAACTAACTTTTTAATATATTTTAATAAGCTAAATTTCAGTTTAAATGAAATGTATCATTACCTCCAGCTACCTCAGAATTTACAGCAACATTGTATGTTTCTTCTAAATCTAAATCCTCGTATTCTGGTACTAGACATTTTTGACAGCACACTTTTATACTTTGCACCCTTTCACCAGTGTTAGATTATAAACAACTTGTGCACTTATGATAAAATAAAAAGTAGTGAAAATAGCATTATGTTAGGGTTTAACTACAACAAAAACTAAAATAAATATCAAATACTATAATGCTTTTCAATAGGAACCTTTTTATCGGAAAAGTTTTTCTCGATAGCTTCGATTTGAGAATCACGGTCCATATAAAGTGTTTCACTATTGAATGACTTCTTAATACTAAATCCAACCTTTGCCTCAACTTTGTCCGTAGTTTGAGGCTGAAACCTGGTCTGTTCCGTCGAAATATATTCAGTTCTATGCAACCAGGACACAGATTTCGCATGGTGCTGGGATCTTTTTGAATCCTGTGGCGTCAGGATGTCTTCTTCAAGTAATTTCTCATCCGCAGGGTCTAAGGTAGCCCCGTGATCGACGGCATATCTATCTTTATTAATTAAGTCGATACTAACGCCTAGATCATGTTCTGTTAACACCTCATAGCGGTAGCGGTAGTTTCTTTCTAAAGATGTAGGATTGTCCTGAATAAACCTGGACGCCTCAAACGGGTAGGAAATAAATTTTAGATCGTAGGGTCTATCCGGAAGAGTGTTACAGTACTTTACTGTGCATATTAAATCCGACCTAAAAAGAATATAAATATTTAAAAATATGGAATACGAATAAATGCCTGTATTTAGTGCCACAAAGTTAAAGGTTAAGTTTTTTAACATAATTTGTTTGAGGTTGTGTATGTTTGGTTGCCTGACTTGTCCGGTTTGTTATGGAGCGCATTTCGGAAGATAGCGCTGCTGTATAAAGAGCAAAAAATCATGATACCTAGGTTTTTATAACAATTTTCCTCTGTTTTTGCAAAGCGTCCTTTTTTGAGAAATCAAAGCGTCGCGTGGGTTGGAAATATTTATTTCTCGATTTAATTTCCAATTTAGTGCTTTTATTTCTTCTCAGCAGCGTAAAATGTTGAAACGGTGTAAATTTGAGCGAATGATTTACAGCTCTGGGGTTTTTAACTTCAGAAAGACTTCTAAATTGTTGTTTTAAATTGTTAAAACTATGTATGTGCGTGTGTTGGTGTGGAAGCATAATTATCAATTGGTAAGTCGTAATTTCTATTTAATTCGATACAATATCTCTTTCCATATTATATGACCATATAACTTTGATCGCTAGTGATAAAGAAAATTACTACTAAATAATTTTATTTTGTTACGAGTATAAACATGTAGTTTTAACACTATTGTTCATTCTACATATGTAACACTACATCAGCTGGTGATGCGCCGGTTGCCGATTGGAAATATTAGAATAATACAACAAAATAATAAAATTATATAATATTAATTAAATATGAAAATGTATAAACAAATTATGTTACAGTTTATCGTACAGGGTACGAAGAAGTGTAGGCTCACTTCATAGGCTTTCTGATTTCTCAATAATACAATTTTTGGCCCTCTGAATGTTTTTTGTAAGCTTAATTTTGTTACATGTCAATTGAAATTATTCATTTGACTTAAATCTAATTTCTTCATCGCTGTATACTGTTATTCTTCCGTCAACTTCTTGAAATACTGGCGACTTAGACTGTAGATATTTCATAAAAACCTCGACATCAACTTGACCTATCGCTAAATTTTCTATGTTCTCTGATACGGCTGTATAACCATCACCACCTATTTAAAAAAAATCATTAAAAATATTATTCTATGGAAATTGAAAAAAACTTTATATTATTTAGTTGTGCTCTAGAACGTTGATATTTTATTGTGCTTATATACAGGGTGGTCCGAACTGTATTCGGGAAACTTCGGCAGCATATTTTACAGATAAAAATAAGTAAAAAAGTTTAAATAAAATAATGTTATAAAATGCTTAGTTTTGGTGATACAGGGTGTAAAAGTTTAATTTTTACCTGGATTTTTTTCAAATTATAGTCGATATTTGGATGAAAATTGGTGTTGTGGGTATTTTTTGACATGAGAAATTTGATTTTGATGTCAGTGTGACTCCTACTTGTAGGGAGCGTCATCTACTGGTTTTTTTAACTGTCTTAAACAGTTATAACTTTTCGTCTGTACCTGTATGAAACTAACTAAGTGAAAAAATACGTATTTTCATCTTTTCTACGTAAAAAAGATCTTTTCTCAAACATTGAACATGTTGACTAGATAGTTATTAGACTGAAATCATAAATTTGAAATGTTTTTGTGTCACAGGTTCAACAGAAACTGTTGCTTCGTATTTTTTTTCCAGATAAAATTAGGATTAATTAAAAAAAAAGTTCCCAAATTTTATCATCTTAGTCAATTCTAGCCTAGAAAAATGAAATGTTTATTTCTTGTCAATGATGACCTGTATTCATAACTTACATTCCAAATATCTTGAAAACGGTTATTCGTAGCTAAAATAAAAAAATCATAAGTCTGAAATCATAAATTTGAGTACTAGTTACTACAATCAAGAGGTTTTTTTTAGGTAAGAAATGCATATTTTTTTTTACTCAGTAGTTTTATACAGGTACGGATAAAAAGTTATTACTCTTCAAACCATTTAAGAATACATATGTAATTAGCGCCCCCTACACATATTGACATCGAAATCAAATTTCTTATGTCAAAAAATGTATGGTTTTCATCGAAATATCGACTATAGTTCAGAAATTATTTGGAAAAAACCGAAATAAAATTAAACTTCTACACCCTGTATCTCCGAAACTAAACATTTTAGGACATAACTTTCTATACAAACTTTTTTACTTATTTTTATCTGCACAATATGCTGCCGAATACAATTTAGATCGCCCTGTATTTTTCTTGTAAAGAATAACTTAGCAATTATTGATTAATTTGATTGGCAGAATTTTTTATTTTATAAACAGCTCAAAAAAAAACAAATCATTGAAGGTTTAATGAAATATCATAGTAATTTTATACAAGGTGTCCCAGTATTCTGTGGTCATACATCTAATACCTATTTTAGAGTGATAATAAGTTAATTGAACACTATTTATCTCTATACAAAAGTTTGAACAATTTAAAAAAGACAAAAACTAACTTTTTAATATATTTTAATAAGCTAAATTTCAGTTTAAATGAAATGTATCATTACCTCCAGCTACGTAAGAATTTACAGCAACATTGTATGTTTCTTCTAAATCTAAATCCTCGTATTCTGGTACTAGACATTTTTGACAGCGCACTTTTATACTTTGCACCCTTTCACCAAAAGGGCGTGTTAGATTATATACAACTTGCGCACCTATGATAAAATAAAAAGTAGTGAAAATAGCATTATGTTAGGGTTTAACTACAACAAAAACTAAAATAAATATCAAATATCTATATATATAAATCTGTAAGTCCTGATTCATTCATCACTGACTCATCAACGCCCAGATCAAACCCTTAACCCTAGAAAGCTGAAATTTTGCACAGGGATTCCTTTTATGATGTATACGTGAGATAAGAAAGGATTTTTTAAAATTCATCCCCTAAGGGGGTAAAAAGGGGGCTGGAATATTACAATATTTTTTATTTAAAAAACGGTCAAGTTTCCGAAAAAACGCTTAAACACGTATATTTTATTTAATTTATTTGACATATTTTAAGATTTTTTAAAAACGTAAACAGGGTGTTTCGAAAAATCTGGTCATTGATTAATCGCGATCCTGCTTAAAGCGCTTGACGTAAAAAGCTGATTTTTGGAAAACGGATTGACTTTAGGGTGTAGAGGTTCGATAAGAAGGGATTTTTCGAAACTGGAATTCTAAGGGGGTGAAACCACCCCTCAAATATTAGAATATTTTTTATTTAAAAACCGGTGAGTTTTTCGGAATGAGTTTTTCGGAAAAACTCTTAAACACGTATACATTATTTTGTTGTTTTACATATTTTAAGATTTTTTAAAAATTTATACAGGGTGTTTCATAAAATATGGCCATTGAGTAATCACGATTCTGCTTAAACTGCTTGACGTTTAAAGCTGATTTTTGGCAAACGGATTGACTGTGGGGTATAGAGGTTAGATAAGGAGGGGTTTCTCGAATCTCAAATTCCAAGAGGGTGAAAACGCCCCTCAAATAATATTACAATATGTGTTATTAAAAAAAACGGTTAGTCTTTCGGGAAAACGCCTGGACTTCTTTTACATACATATTTTGAAATTTTTTAAAAAATCATACAAAGCTGCAAATTGTTGTTTATTTCCATAGAAACGCGTTCTTGAAACTTAGAATAAAATAGCCCGTAGCTTAACAGAATTGAAATTAGGTTTTGGTATCTTAACCTAATCTATACTAATATATAAAATCCTTAAGTAACTCACTGATTAATCACGATCCTGCTCAAACCACTCAACGTAAGAAGCTCAATTCTGGCATACAGGTTGATTCTAGGGTGTAGAGGTTCGATAAGAAGGGATTTTTCGAAATTCCACTTCCAAGGGGGTGAAACCACCCCTCAATATTACAATATTTTTATTTAAAAAACGGTCAAGTTTCCGAAAAAACGCTTAAACACGTATATTTTATTTTGGTTTTTACATATTTTAAGATTTTTTTAAAATGTATACAGGGTGTTTCGAAAAATCTGATCCTGGAAGGGATTTTTCGAAACTCGAATTCTAAGGGGGATTTCCCCTCAAATATAGAATATTTTTTATTTAAAAACCGGTGAGTTTTTCGGAAAAACTCTTAAACACGTATATTTTATTTTGTTGTTTTACATATTTTAAGATTTTTAAACATTTATACAGGGTGTTTCATAAAATATGACCATTGAGTAATCACGATTCTGCTTAAACTGCTTGACGTTTAAAGCTGATTTTTGGCAAACGGATTGACTGTGGGGTGTAGAGGTTCGATAAGGCTGGGTTTCTCAAATCTCAAATTCCAAGAGGGTGAAAACGCCCTTCAAATATTACAATATTTGTTATTTAAAAAACGGTTAGTCTTTCGGGAAAACGCTTGGACACGCATAGTTTATTTTGTTTTTTATATATTTTGAAATTTTTAAAAAAATCATACAGGGTGTTGCAAAAAGTGGGGTAATTGATTAACCACGATTCTGCTTAAACTGCTTAATGTAAAAAGCTTATTTTTGGCAAACGGATTTTTCGAAAGTCAAATTCCAACGAGATGAAACTACCTCTCAAATATTACCAAGTTATACAGAGTGAGTCTTAAATAAGTGCAAATATTTTCAGGGGTTGTATATTTCGACCCCAGGAACACGTCTATGAGTTTTTTTTTCGCAAAAAAAAGATGTTGAAAATCGTGCATTTTCTTTTAAATTTCTCTGTATATTTTTCGAAAACTGTTTAGAACTGCCTGTTCACCGCAAATTTTCCCATGGTATAAATTCTTAATCTCTGATATTACCATAGTTACACCTTTACTCTATGGTTACGGCACTAAAATGGATGCAAATACAGAAAAAATCCGAAAAAATTTTCAAAAAAAAATCAATTTTTTAAATTTTCAAACTTACTTATTTAAAAAATGGTAAAGAAAAAATATGTTTCTTTTGTCGAGATCTACCAGCCCTAAAAATATTTGCACTTATTTAAGACTCACCCTGTATAATAATATCGCCATATCATTTTTTCTCATGATGACATAAATGTAAGAAAATTTTATCCAGTTTGTATGTTAATTGAAATTCTTGCTTTGCTTTATCATCACCATTACAATGATTAATTCGACGCGAACGAAGTCGCGGGTACACCCTAGTTTTCTTATATATCTGATAAAAAAAACACGAAAGATTTTGGCACTCGGTACTACACTTATCACCAGTTCTAAATGATTTTCATAAATTCGCAGAAATATAATAGGGTGTTTCTTAAATAAGTACAAGTATTTGTAAGGGATGATAGATGTAGACAAATAGGTACAACCTATTTTCTATTTAACATTTTTAAAATAATTAAAAATGACCGAGTTATTTCACTTCGAAAATTAAAATAAAATTAGTTAAATTATGAAAATCGACAGAAAATACCTACATATAGTACATATACAGGGTAGGAGATTTATCACGTAGAAATAAGATTTATCTTTCATATCAACATAGGTCCGATTCTGCTTTGTTTCTTAGCTACAGAGTGTTAGAGTCTAATATATTTTTTCGATTTATTCTAATTTTCTTCCAAGAACTTTTAGCGTATCGAATGAAATTTTGACGATAAATATTACTATAAATGAGACATATTTTATAGCTAAAAAAGTGTCGACGCCTACACCATATACGTGCAAATGGGTTATCAATGGAATATTTTTCTAAAAAAAGCATGTACGCCAGTGACTGTTTTTTCTCTTGTTAGCGAAATAGTGCAAGCAGTTTAATGCCGATTAAAAGTTGTCTCTTGATATTTTGTGTATTTCGACCTCCTTGACGAGATAAACGCGATAATTTTTTTAATTTGCCTTGATCCAAGTCCAATAGCAACCTTTAAAAAAATAATATCATTAACTTGCGAAAGTTTTAAACAACTACTCATTGAATCCTCATCAATAAATATGAAAAAAGTTCCTATAAACACGGGTATGGAAATGCATAGTTTTATAGATACAGGATATTAAAACTTTTTAAAATTAGGTTTTTTGTAATTATCTTAAATACCATTATTTTTTTTTTGAAATTGCTGTATGTGGAACTAATAGTCGTAATGTTTAATAATAAATTATGTAAAATATATAATTTATTAATTTTATTTTAATTTTATTTTTATTAATTATGATTAACAAAACTGCGTTTATCTCATCAAGAAAGCCGAATTCGACAAAATATCAAAAGATAACTTTTAATTGGCATTAAACGGCCTACACAATTTTGATATCAAAAGAAAAAAGTCAGTAGCACACATGTTTTTTTTTTGAAAAATTTTCCAGTGATAACCCATATGCACGTCAATGATCAATTTAACGACAGTTTTTTAGCATTAGAATATGTAGCACTTATCGTACCTTTTACTTTCAAAATTTCATTCGAATCATTAAAAGTAATTGGAAGAAAATTATAATAAATCGAAAAATTATTAAGACTTTAACACGATGTAACTACGAAAAAAGCAGAATCCGACCTATGTTGATATAAAAAAATAAAACTTATTTTTATGTGAGGAATCTCCCCACGAGAGATGGTACATGTTTTTTGAAACACCCTGTAGAATTAACTTAACTAAAAATACTTTGTAATATGGCGACAATAGAATCTCGAATAATTGTTAAATGACAGAAGTAATTGCCATGTATCCGCTGGTTGGAGAGACTATACTAATAACTTACCAGAAACATGTAATAACTTTAAATCTGACAATACTCTTTGATTGTTGTACTCTTTAGTGCCTTGTTCTAGAACTTCTTTGATGTATTTTCCTTTGATTTGACCAAAATCAACTGTGTTGCCGAAAGGTTGGGCTAGCAGTAAGTCGTTATAGGTGACATCTAAAATAAGAAATTTATATTTAAAGAAACAAACAGAAATTTTAATTGCTAAGGGTTTTCTTTTAACGAAAATACCCATATAAAATTTTAGTGATCAAGCCAGTGTGCCAAATATACCTCCAATGCCTATAGTGTCTCTTAAACCGCCTGCGTTTGTTATACCAATGGCAGCACCAGTCCATGCTTCATTTTGAACAGTATCCACATACTAAAAAGCAAATAAAATAATACATAACCAAATTCAATAATTAATTATATCATTCTTATTTTTGTTCCGATTATTTTTTTTGGAGTTAAACAAACATTACTGTAGCAATATTTTTTGCATACATATTTATAGAAAACAATGGCATCACATTATTAGCTTGGAAATGCTTGGAAATTGATAATATTTGTTATGCAAAAGCACACTTAGATGCAAAAAAAACGCAACGGATACATTTTTGGTAAAATTTGTTATTGGTAAAAGTGTTATATTTTTCTTAATTTTAGCCCCATTTTCATGAATTTTTTAGCAAGCTGTATATAATATACAGGGTGGCGCACCTCATTCGCCTCGGTTGATTATACGAAAACGGAAAGATGTAGAAACAACACATTTTATGGGTATATGTGACGAGACAATGTGCACAATTTAACATTATTTTGAAATATACAGGGTGTTTCAGAACTAAGATCCATACCAAAGTTATATTTTTTCTTATGGAACACCCGGTATTTTATTTCATTTTTGGATTCTTGGGCTCAAAAAAGGCATTTATTATAAGGGTTAAATACGTTTAAAATCTTTAGTTTTTGAGATATTTAAAGATATTTCAATTTGCATGCTACAATAGAATAGACTATTAACACCCTGTACATTACTTTTCAGAATTAATTCTTATGCTAAGTTTAAAGGTAGAGAAACTTTACTGAAAAATGGTATTGGTTCCTTAAATCTATACAGGGCTCAAAAGTTGCTGATTTATTTTAAGGATATATTTTATATATAAAACTTCGTTATTTCAAATGCAACACCCTGTATTTTTTTTTAAATAAATCGAAGCAAATTCAAATGCTCTTTCAAACTATATTAGGGTTTCCTATACCTATCTACAGTACGTCTGTCCGTTCTGTAGCTACGGGGCGCGGGGTATCCATGAGGGGGGAAACGATATTCTCTCGATGTTTTTCGTAAAAAAATAGACGACGCGTCCCATCAATAAAAATTAGACAAATTTGCAAGTAGCCAATAAAATGAGTGGGCGTAGCGATTTGCAATGACGTACTCGTCAAGTCGACATATAAAATACAGGGTTGTTCACCACATACGACACGGAGTATTGTAGCTAAACGATTATAGTTTTACAAATTTCAAGTTTTGGGTTCGATGTAGGAGTATTAGAGGTACAATTTAAAAATAATTTTACAAGATACAGAGTATCCCAAATACGTAAAAAATATCAAAGTTGTATTTTTTTAAATGAAACACCCTGTATATTATTACATTTTAGTTTCTACGATTAAAATAAAGGTAAATTTGATTAAGGTTTATTATACTTAAACCTTACCGTTTTTGAAATATTTTCAATTTTGTGAAATTGCAGTAAAAATTTTAAGGCTTCATTTCTCAAAGGGTATCAAAGTTTTTAATACTAAATATTTACTGAAGTTTATTTATTGATCAGTTATTGTGTTGCAATAATAAAAATAATACTACCTTATACAAAGTGTCTAAAAAATTATTTTAAATAATTTCTAGCTTTAAACGCCAATAACTTCTTTAATTTAAATGGAATGCCCTGTATATTTTAGGAGAATCATGCACAATTTAATTGTCTATCAAATTGTATTATACCATTTTTTACCTATCCCTACAAGTTTTCGTAGAAAATGCATTTTCTTATAATTTAGACTTCATTTATCGATATACCCATGGAATATTGACATTTGAGATTATTTTTAAAGCAACAAATGTACAAAATGTACAGGCTAGTAATATTATCGTTTTTAGCAAAACGATAATATTGTTACGGATTCCGTGGGTCCACTATTTAAACTCACGATAAAATACTTAACGAATTTATTTTCTCACTTTATACACAATTACTAACTTATAACACACAACAAACTAACTATTCCTTCACCAAATTGTCCGATTTTCAATTTCCACGCGGTATATTCAAATTTCAACAACTGTCTCAGTTGTCGATGGCTCCGGCTTATATACTCTATTGACTGCTTCTCGAAATTTCCCCAATTCTCGGAAAGCGTACTTCTTCATACCAGACAATTCTATTGTCTGATTCCCTTACTTCTCGACTTGACTAAAAGATGGCGCCTGAAAAAGTCTTTTAATTTCAGGCGGATACGTTGCGGTTGTGCAGGCAACCAGTAATACATTTTTAATTTCTGGCGGATAGGCCATTTTTCTTGACATCGCCCCCTTCTCAAATTTGATCGTCCCGATCAAGGTTTCCTGTCTGATATCTCTTCAATCGATCCAGATGAACTACTTTCATCTTACTTCTAGGGCTGCGTTGAATCCGGTACACAACATCATTTATCCTCTTGATGACTGTATAAGGACCTTCCCATGCTGGAGTTAACTTTGGGGACCTCCCTTTCTTGCGCTGTGGGTTATATAACCATACCATATCGTCCTGTTGAAATCCCGTAGAATTGGCTCTGAGGTCGTAACGAGCTTTCATCCGGTCACTGGCTAGCGTAATCTTACTTCTTACGGCCTTATGAATTTCCATTAACCTTTCCTTCAGTTCATCCGCGTAGTCCTCTACATTTGTGGTGCCGTCGTCTGGTGATCCGAACACCAAGTCACAAGGCAACCGTAATTCTCGACCAAATAAAATCTTCGATGGTGAAAGTCCGGTGGTGTTGTGAACTGCACTTCTATACGCCATTAGGAACAGCGGTATGTGTTGATCCCAATCTCTTTGATGTTCGGCCACCATTTTCGAGAGGTGTTCTTCAATGGTCTTATTGAATCTTTCGACCATCCCATCAGACTGCGGATGTAAAGCTGTTGTCCTAGTCTTGTGAATACCAAGCAGATCACACATCTTCTGGAACAGTCTTGACTCGAAGTTCCTTCCTTGGTCAGTGTGAAGCTCTAAGGGAATTCCAAATCTACTGAAGACATTATTGACCAATACTTCAGCTACAGTCGATGCTTCTTGGTTTGGAATGGCAAAAACTTCTGGCCATTTACTGAAATAATCCATCGCCACTAAAACGTACTTGTTGCCCTTGTGCGTTTCAGGGAATGGGCCTGCAATGTCAACAGCGATTCTTTCGAATGGCAGTCCAACGTTATATTGTTTCATTTTTCCCCTAGATCGAGTGCTTGGTCCTTGGCTGGCTGCACAAATTTTACATTGTCGACACCATTTCTTGACATCTTGGCAATAATCCACCCAGTAAAATCGATCTCTCAGCTTGCTCAAGATCTTGTTTACTCCAAGATGGGATCCAGTTTTACCACCATGAATTTCTTTCAATACCTGGGTGACTTTCTCCCTTGGTACTAGTAACTGAGTTGTTAGTCCTGCCATTCGCACTTTCTCATGTGCGCTTTAACAATCCATTCTCAATAACCAGTGAATTCCACTGAGCTCAGAGAGCTTTGAAAGCGAGCCCTCTGTCCGCAATATCCTGCCACGGTGGTCTCTCGCCGTTACCTTCCTTGAGCCGTAGTATTGCTCCGATGTCTGGATCTTCCATTTGATCTTTCCTCAATTGTGTCGTCGTCCTATGTTCATCAGCTCTAAGCTTAAAACTCCTTATCATGACAGTGCCTTCACGTTGTTCCGTTTTACAGCAGTGCTTACAAACGGTTTGACAGGGTCTTCTGGATAAACCGTCTGCGTTACCATGCATTTTTCCAGCACGATGTTGGTTGGTAAAGTGATACTGCTGGAGCTTCTCGAGCCATCGTGCTATTTGGCCTTCAGGTTGTTTCATCTCCATAAGCCACTTGAGAGCCGCATGATCTGTCCTAATTAAAAATTCTTGGCCGTACAGATATTTATGAAAATGATCAACTGCCTTCACAATTGCTAGCAGCTCCTTCCGGGTAACGCAGTAATTCCTTTCTGGTTTGGATAGAACTCGACTGTAATATTCTATCACTCGTTCTTCGCCATCTTGCACTTGTGATAGCACTGCACCTATGCCGATATTGCTGGCGTCGGTATCCAGGATATACCTCCCTTGTTGTTGCGGGTAGGCTAGAATAGGACTTGAACATAAAGCCGCCTTAAGTCTTCCAAAGGCTACATCACAATCGGTGTTCCATTCGTAGCCGACTTCATCACCTGTAAGTCTATGTAAGGGTGCAGCTATATTGGCAAATCCCTTGACAAATCTTCTGTAATAGGTGCATAAACCCAGAAAACTTCTAAGTTCATGTTTGTCGCGAGGTTTAGGCCAATCCTTGATTGCAGCGATTTTCTTCTGGTCAGTGTAAATTCCGTCTGCTGAGACTACATGGCCCAAAAATTCCACTTGTCGCTGGAATAAGCTACACTTCTTCGGGTTCAAGTACAGGTGAGCATTCCGTATGCGGCCGAAGACTTCTTCTAGATTTCGCAAATGCTCCTCAAAAGTTCTTCCCATAACCAATACATCGTCGAGGTAAACCAAGCACGTTTTCCAAGTTAATCCTCTTAACACCACCTCCATGAGACGTTCGAAAGTGGCTGGAGCATTGCATAATCCAAACGGCATGACCTTGAATTGGTATAGTCCGTTTCCTGTAGAAAAAGCCTCTTTTCTTTGTCTTCCTCGTCCAGACCAACTTGCCAGTATCCACTCTTTAAGTCGAGAGTGGAGAACCAGCACGAACCTGCCAGTGTGGTTAACGTGTCGTCTATACGTGGCAGTGGGTAGCTGTCCTTCTTAGTGACGTCATTGAGCTTCCGATAGTCCACGCAGAATCGTGTACTACCATCTTTCTTCGTCACCAAAACAACAGGAGATGACCATGGACTCGATGATTCTTCGATAACTCCATCTTCTAGCATCTTATCTACCATTGTCTCCATTTCTTGTTGTTTGGAAAGGGGCACCCTTCTAGGACGTTGTCGAATCGGCTGAGCATGACCAGTATTAATCCGGTGCTTCACAAAATCCGTTCTTCCACTGTTATTTTTCTCAAAAATACCGCCATGCTTTCGCAGGAACTGCTTAGCCTTCTGTTTCTCCTCATAT